TGAAGATCAGAAAAGCCAAGCAGCCGGGCGGTGGTGGCGCACGCCTTTAATCCCAGCACTTGGGAGGCAGAGGCAGGCGGATCTCTGTGAGTTCGAGACCAGCCTGGTCTACAAGAGCTAGTTCCAGGACAGGCTCCAAAACCACAGAGAAACCCTGTCTCGAAAAACCAAAAAAAAAAAAAAAAAGAAAAAAGAAAAAAAAAAGAAAAAGAAAAGCCAAGCAGCCAGCCACTGGCTCTTACCTCTACCTCAGACTGAAAATGGGCGACCCTGCCTCCATGAATCCTCAGATTAAGACTAAGCATGAAAACTGTCTCCTCTCATCTTATATTCCTCTCTAGTGCTGGGATTAAAGTCATGTAACACTACCACTTGACCTCTATGTATGGTTGCTGGGAATAAAGGTGTATGTGCAACCACTGTCTGTATGGCCTGTATGGCTGACTAGTGTGACTGCTTTGTACCAATCTTCATGCAAACTTTATTTATTAAAACACAAATAATATATCACCATACACCACCATCATTGCTTCCTGGCAATGACCATGTCCAGTTTAAACTTTAGTAGGAACTGTCATAGAATAGAATGAAAAAGCTTGAGTTTGCGATTATTCATGCTACTGACTGTATCAACATGGTAGACAGTGTCTTTCCACGGTTAAGTAGCACTCTGTGTAACTGGAGGTTTCTCTCCCACCTGTCAATTCCCAAATATCCACTCTGAGGCTAAATATTATTTACAAACAGGATAGCCAATGGCACAGGCTTCTTACTGGCCAGCTCGACAAATAAATTAACGCATTTCCAATAATCTGTGTATTGCCACGTACCACGCAGCTTACCAGCAATGCTCTGCATCTTACCCCTCTGGCAGTCGCTGACGTCTCTCTCCACTCTGCCTTCTTTCTCCCTGTATTCAGTTTGGCTTTTGCATCTAGCTATACTCTGCCGTGCCATAGGTGTTGTGATTCAGCATGAGTTGGGACGGTGGCAGGTCCCATGTGTGTGAGGACCTCAGGCAGGAGAAAAATATGCCATAGGGACAGAGCTTGAGTGTGGAATTTGCTGAGAGAAGGGTAGAAGGGGGGGGGGGAGAGAGAGAGAGAGAGAGAGAGAGAGAGAGAGAGAGAGAGAGAGAGAAAGGCCAGCTTGCCTCTTTAGAAGAACAGTGGGAAGAAGAGTGGGAATAGGTGTGGCTTGTTTCTTAAGGGACAGGGTACTGTCTGCCATGCAACACAGGCATAAAGCAGGACACAGAGTGTGACTCACTGAGCCAGGTTCCCAAGGGGCAGGGCTAAAGTGTACCTCAATCATAACAAAAGACCAAAGCAGCTTTATTCATCAACCAATGAGAGCAACACATAAACACATACTCACAGTGTACAGAAAGACCATCCCACAGCAACTCTGTTCTATGGATGTACCACAATCTGTTCAGCTGCTGATTCAGGAATTGGCTGACACTGGCACTAGTCCTGATTTTTGGCAACTAGCAACAGATTCTACAAATGAGGTTTAGGTTGTTGTCTGGATCTGTATGTCTGCATTTCCCTTAGGTAAATGCCTAAAGAGTATGACTAATTTATGTTGAATTTGGTAAGAGACAGCCATATTAGTTCCCATCAAGGCTGCACTACTGGGCATTCCTGCCAATGATACAAGAATTTCAGTTCCTGAATATACATAGCAGTGTTTGTGTCTTCTGGAAGGCCTTTTTCCTTTTATTTAATGTGAGCCATTGTGAGTTGGAGAGATGGCTCAGTGGTCAAGAGTCCTTGCTACTCTTATAAGTAACACTGCTTCAATTCCAAGCACCCACATGGGGTGTACAGCCATCAGTACCTCCAATCCCAGGGGATTTAATGCTCACTTCTGGCCTTCTTGAGCATCAGGAATTCTATATGCAGACAAAACACCCATATTTATCTATGAACCATTATTTTCCTTTCAGTAAAGATGTTGCCTACGGTGTGGGCAGCAAACTTTTTAAAAGTGAGGTTCTACTTGGAAAAAGCAAGAAGGACACTCACAAGTCTAGCAGGTTTGTTCTGAGAGGATCTGGGTCGTGAAGGAAGCACCGCAGATGATGCGTGCATTGTACTTAATCTGAGCAGCACCTGGCACCCAAACTACTGCAATCCAAAAGGACTGTTTGCATTAAATGGCTTCCCTGAATTGCTTGGCAGAAGACAACTGAAATGCAACCTCCAATCTCTCACTCCCCGACAATAACTAAAGTCCTCAGAAAGAAGCACTGGGCCTGGCATTGAGGATGATTTACCCGCAACAGTCCACAGTCCAAGAAGAAAGACGTTTTTCTTCTTTAATAATTATGCAACAGGAAATTCTGAGAGCAGGGCAGAAGGCAAAGTTTTGTTTTTTTTAAATACCCACAGGCAGCAGCCATGTTAAAAAGTCTGCAAAATTCTGAGCCCAGGGCAGAGTTACTGATTACCTAAGAGCCCTGGGGCATGGTTATAGATTAGATTTTGCTAATCTTTAAAATATAAACAGAAGCAGCAATAACAGTAGTTTAAGAACATGGAAAAAACTTGCTCCTAGCCTAGGCAGTTTGGATGCTCACCTTACTAGACCTGGATGGAGGTGAATGGTCCTTGGACTTCCCACAGGTCAGGGAACCCTGATTGCTCTTCGAGCTGATGAGGGAGGGGGACTTGATCGGGGGAGGGGGAGGGAAATGGGAGGCGGTGGCAGGGAGGAGGCAGAAATCTTTAATAAATAAATAAATTTAAAAAAAACCTTGTTCCTAAAAATCAGAAGGCTCTCAGATCCTGGGGGTGTCCACATGTGAGTGCAAATTGGCTTCTGGACAGGAAGGGTTTCTGCAAGGAAATCTGTCTCTGATCACTGATGTGCTACTGGAAATGTTGGCTGAAGCAGTTCAATCATCTCTACTGATACAAGGAGAGGCAAACTAGCTAAAGGAATAAGGTCTTGAACAGTACAGCATTTATATCAGACCAGCAAAAATGCTCAAGCCATTCATCTGCTGTGAGAACTCCTTCAGCCAGTAGCCTTTAAGATACCAACCCACTTAGGCGTGGCCTCTTATACTATAAATGCCGATGTAAAGGGCATGCTAATTCTTCCAGCTGCTGGGTTGGTTCCTGTTCCCGTTCCTACAGAGGACTATGATCTGTGAATCTACCACTAAATAAATAACCCTTTATTATACTCCATTCTAAAATAGTGTGGGATCTCTCTTTAGCGCCCATATTCATTCATCTATTATTATCTATCAACCTTTGACAGAGAGTACGGCCCATTAACAGGTCTCCCATGTCTGCCAGGCCTCAGGCTGGAGAATGGCTGAAGGATCCTATAAAGGTGTGACACCTGAGAAATGGTAGAATGAGGGTACGAGAAATATCTACATGCCTGTCTGGGCTGTCCTATGTGCACCCAGGATTGTATGAACTACACAGAATTCCTAGAAGATATAATTGTTGGCCCTCAAAATTACAATAGGGAAAGTCAATCTATAAGAACCAGCCTAACAAAACACTCTAAAGTAGAAAAAAATTTAATCAAAATAAACAAAAATCACTTGAGTATCATTATTATTGACTTAGAAGGTCATAAAATACATTCTGAGAAATTTTTAACTAATTCATTCAGCAAATATTTCCTTTCTGGTGTCTTCTGTCACAAACCTTACACTGCATACGGTGTGATGATTTCTCAACACTGTCCATTTACTTATGTCTTTGGACAACCATTTACTCAAGATTATACTATTAATTACTGTGAATTCAAGATTACTACCTTTATGAAGGATTTAGGCTTTGTTCCTTAAAGCTTTTAAGAAAAAAGAACTTTTAAAACAAATAAATAGGCAGAGAGACAGATACAGTCCTTTGAGATTCTGTTCTCCTGCCTGCTCTTTGAGGAAATCATTATGCTAGGTTGGTATGACTTTCCCAACTACATTACTTTTTTCTTAATACATACTATGCCACAAATAACACACAGTGGCGGTACTGTTTCCTGCATTCTAAAACCATGTAGAAATAAAGACCAGAATCTTACTCTGTAGTTACCATTTCTAAGATCTAAAGATGTAGACACTCATACATCTAGATCATTCCTGTGCATGCATACACGATTTTCTGTGCACAGGTGTGTGGGTGGTGCTGAGGATGCACAAAGAGGCCAGAGGGCAACTTCCCGGCCTGCTCCCTGGGCACTGTCCACATTTGTCTTAGACAAGTCTCACCCATGGCTTGAAACGTGCAAAGTCGGCTCTCCTGGCCAGCCAGCACCCGGTTACCAGCAGCACCACCGACTACAACCAACTGATTTTATATGAATCCTGGGGAACAAACTCAGGTTCCCGTGCTCACCCTTAACTAAATAAGCGTAATCCATTCATTTCAGAGCTATCTAGTTCCTCTTAGATGAACACATCACTATTAATTTATGAAAGCATTCATTAAAGAAAAGTTTCTACAGAAAATTTTTCTATAGTACAGACTATTGTTAAAAGGTACTGGATACTCTAGATTACCAACACAGCAAGTCCACCATGGGTTCATGAGAGTGACCTATGACAGATGAGCCAGTATTGCTTCATCTGCTCAAAAATCCAATCCCATCACAACTGCACTGGACTGAAACTATAGCACAAGAGTTGAGCGTGGTGGTCTGTGCCTGGAATCCCAGAGACTCCAGAGACTGAGGGGGGAGAATCACAAGTTCAAGGCCAACCTGGGCAACTTATCAGGACCATGTTTCAAAATAAAAACTAAATGAATAAAGGGCTGAAGGTGTAGCTCAGTGGTCCAGTGCTTACCCAGCATGCCCAAAGCCCTGGGTTCAATCTGCAATACAGCCTATATTTGTATGTGTATGCTGATATATACATATATACATTCATATAAATACATATATTATGTAAGTATAATGTGTAAATATGTATTCATGAATCATGAGGAGCAAAATACAAAAGCACAACAGCAAGTAAAAACATAAATTTATTGTTACAAGCTCATCTCATCTGTCCTTTGTAGGACTCCAGTAGCAACCTATGAATGTGAAAAAATTATCATAAACAACATGCATTTCCTTTATCATAACAAAATTAGATTTAAACTTCATGGACCACAAACTTTCCTGTTTTCTTCCAGGAACAATGTTAAATGATGTCCTAGATTTTAAAAACACATCATTTTCTCAAATAAGATCAAGGCTAAATTGGATTTCATTCTTAACCTAGAAGTAATAATAAAAACTAAAATAAATTATAAAGATTCCATATTACATTAGGAAAACTATATTTTAAGGTCTACAAAACATAGCTTTACTAATGTTTATATGTTGTAGGTTCAATAGAAATCTGAGCTCTTTTCAATTATACAGAAAAGTTTATGTTACCCCCTTGAGATACATAGACAAAACGATGCCTTATTATATTCAGAAATCTATACTCGAGTGTTTCTTCCTAAGGGCTATGAAGACAAGGGGCTAAACAAGTAGTGTTAATCACTTCTTTATTTTATCTTATCCATTTTTGAGGCAGGGTCTCATTAGGCAGCCTAGACTCCCAGCATTCCTCCGGCCTCAGCCTCCTTGTTCTGGGAAGCAGGCATGAGCAAGTGTGAGCAGTATCCTTACCCAATTCTTTCTCTTGTTCTCAATTCCTGCCCTCCTCCTGTCCCACCTTTCACCTACTCCTCAGAAAAGGTAAGGCTTCCCATGGGGAGTCAACAAAGTCTAACACATACCTTGGAGGCAGGACCAAGGCTCTTCCCCCTATATCTAGACTGACCAGGTATCCCTCCAAAGATAATATGCTCCAAGATGCCAGATGCCAGTTCAATCCTGGTCCCACTGTCAGTGGCCCCACAAGCTGCTCGAGCCTCACAACTGTCGCTCACATTCAGTGTCCCTAGGTTGGTCCTCTGCAGGTTCCCCTGCTATCAGTTCAGAGCCCGTGAGTTCTCACTAGCTCTGGTCAGCTGTTTCTGTGGGTATCACCTTCATGGTCTTGACCCTTTTGCTCATATTATTGTTCCTGCCTCTCTTGGACTGATCTCTGGAAGTTCGGTGCTGTGGATCTCTGTATCTACTTCCATCAGTTGCTGGATTAAGGTTCTATGATGACAATTTAGGTAGTCATCAATTTGATTACAGGGGAAGGCCAGTTCAGGCATCCTCTAGAGTGTTCCTTAGAGTCTTAGCTTGGGTCATTCTTGTGGATTCCTGGTAATTTCCCTAGTTTCTCGCTAGCACCTTAATGGCCTCCTCTATCAAGATATAGCTTTCCTTTCTCTACGTCTCTGTCATTCCTCCTTCTTGAGCATCCCATTCCCTTATGTTCTCTTCCTAGCTCTCCCTGTCCCCTACTCCCCTTCTTCTGTCTCTTCTCCCCACCCCTCATACACACTCCCCAATTTTCTCAGGAGATCCTGTCTGTTTCCCCTTCCTAGGAGGATCCATGTATGTCTTTCTTATGGTTCTTCTTGTTAGCTATCTTCTCTGTGATCATGGACCATATGCTGGTTATCCTTTGTTTTACATCTAATACCCACTTATAAGTGAGTACATAACATGTTTGTCTATCTGGGTCTGGGTTACCTCACTCAGGATGTTTTTTTCTAGTTCTATCCATGTGCATGCAAATTCCAATGTGTGATCATTTTTTACCACTGAGTTAGTATTTCTTTATGAAAATGTACCACATTTTCTTTATTCATTCTTCTGTTGAGGGGCACTTAGGTTGCTTCCAGGTTCCAGGTTCCAGTATTATGAAAAATACTGCTATGAACAAGGCAAATGTTTTTGTGGTATGAGTGTTCATCCTTTGGGTATATGCCCAAGAGTGGTATTGCTGAGTCTTGAGGTAGACTGATTCCCAATTTTCAGAGAAACCGCCACACTGATTTCCAAAGTGGCTGTACAAGTTTGCATTCTCACCAGCAATGAAGGAGTGTAGTCTTTGCATGCTTTCTTTCACTTAGTAATAAACACTAAGTTTCCTCCGAGTCTTGGCAAAACTGGATAATTCTTTTTTCGTTTTTCATGCTAAATAATCAATTACTTGGGTATGGAATTCTACTTACCCACTGACCTATTAAAGGGCACCTTCATTTCTTCCAAGTTTTGTCAGTTATTTATAAAGACACTATAAACATCCATGTGCAGATATTTTTCTATGCACAATGACTGTTAATTCTGTTGGATAACTTCCAGTGAGCACAATTGCTGGACTACGTGGTATGAGTAAGTTCAGTTTTCTGGGAAACCTCTCATTTTCTATTTTGGTTATCCTGGATTTTGGTTATTCTAATAGGTAACGTAACTAAACCATTTGGCATTTCTACCATCAATGAATGACAGTTCCTATCGCTCCACCCTTATCAGCATTCAATATTGCCCATGCTCTGGATGCTGGCCATTCTAATTGGTGTAACATCTGACTAAGGGTAAGCGATAGTAATATTAAAACAAAGACAGGGCTAGGGATAAAGCTCAGGAGTGCGAGCTTGCCCAGCATACAAGAGGTGTGTTCTCTAGCACTGGCTGCCAAACAACCTTAAAAGTGACAGAAAAATAGAGAGACTCATACATCTGAACAAGCAGCACCTCATCCTATAAATGCAGTACTAAGAGTTCTAGCTTTCTACACAACAGGGGTGATGTGAGTGGGCAGAGATGTGTTTTCTTGAGAGACGCTGTCATCTGAGGAGACCTTGTCCTCAGTGAACCCATGAGGCCATCACAGAGCTGCTGTGCACCAGGATGCACAACATAACAGGTTCAGCCCATCCGTACCCATTCTGCCTCCTGTCTCAGTCAACGTCTGAGATCTAATCTTGCTGTGTAGTCCAAGATTAACTGCAACTCAAGATCTCCCACTTCATCCTAAGTGCTTACATTTATAGAGCCTTGTTTGTTTTATTTAATTTTGTCAAACAAAATTTATTGCATATAATCCCTTCTTTTTGCTGGGAGGAAGGTTTACCAAAAGCAAGGAAGGAAAAGTACAGGAGCAAAGCTTAGGGCTGTATTAGCTGTGAGCAACAGCCCTAAAATAATGAACTCCAACAGTTTCCTTAATTCTTGTTGCCACTGTTCTAGAACTTAATTTACATTTTTATCCGCTTAAAAATGTTCCTGGATGGGGAGGGGAGGATCCTACCTCCTGCAGTGTCCCATCTCCTCCAGCAACGATGATCACATCTGTGTTTTCCATCAGTTCCAAGAGCTTCTTGGCCTGTCCCTCATAATCTGTCTGAAATGTAAAAGAACGCTCTGGTAAATCTGTCACTGTAGGAACACAAGTTCAAAGGATGAGAAGATGAGATACGCTGTCTAAAGTTTAAATTGACTCTATTTTCTCAAGAAAATTCTATGAAAACAACTAGGTATGGATTTTTATAATTGTATACTTTCTGAGTCAGGGTTATACTTCAGAAACTATCTACTCAGCTCCTTATTTTAAAAATAAATTCAAGCCCAATAACTTGTTTCAGTGATACAGCTAGCCAGCCAGCGGGCTCATTTCCAGTCCAGTGTGGCTTCTGTGACACTGGTGACAGGAAGTCAAGTGCACATGCAAATGGGGAAGCAGATGTAATGGAAAGAGCACAGACTGCAGCACCCAAGAGACCCACAGCAAATCTAGGCTCTGCTACTTTTCAGCTGAATGGGCTTAAACTCACTGGATCTTAATTTCCTCATCAATGAATTTCCATGCATCAAGGGAAGGGTAACCAAGGCTTCCTGCACTATTGCTGCACAGCACAATCTAAGGCAGCTAGAAAAGTGTTTGCAACTGGAACTCTGCTAAGGAGATGGAGATTGGTAGTTTTTTTTTTGGTTTGGTATATTACAAAAAATGCAGGTGTGTTTTGAAGTTCTCACAGAAGAGCACTTCACCTTCCCATTTTTATAAGAATGCTCATCTCAGATACACGCATACATGTAAATGTACATTTCAGCCACCACCAGGAGTGCATTGATATGTACGGCCCTGAAGACATACGCTAAGAGATTAAAGGGCATAAAGCCAGTGAAATAGAAATATTACCTCCAATCCAAAACACACTAGACACACCAGCAGGCCAAACCTAAATACTAATCATCAGACGGAATAAAACACCTGTAGTATATTTTGAACTATCTGGGCATTGTGCCCTGTTCTAGCAGAGAGCTCTGAAGATACAGAAGATCTCCTGTACTCACAGGAAGCGCCCCTCACACACCAGACTATGTGCTACAGAGGTAGCTTTGGGAGGATCCCTGGGTGGCTTGGGGATGGGAGCTGGCCACCAGAGAGCAGCAGATGATTTAAGGGTTAGAACTGTGAGCTCCTCACCCTGACTTCCAGGGAAGAGAGAGGAGCCCAGGTGAGCTCGTTCATCAGGGCTCAATGATTTCATCTGTGTTGTTTGAAAGAAAATGGCCTTCAAAAGGGGTGGCACTATTAGGAAGTGTGGCTTGTTGGAGGAAATGCCACTGCCGGGGTGGGCTTTGAGGTCTTTTTCTCAAGCCTCACTCAGTGTGACAGTCAGTCTACTTCCTGTTGCTCTGAGTCAAGATGTGGGACTCTTAGCTCCATGTCTCCTGTGCCGCCATGCTTCCCTTCATGATCATAAAGGACCCAACCTCTGAAAATGTAAGTGAGCCACCCTCAATTAATGTTTTCTTTATAAGAGTTGCCTTGGTCACTGTGTCTCCTCACAGCAATAGTAAACCCTAGACTTCATCCATAAGCTCCACATAGGAACTCCTACACGTACATTTATGTCAAGAGAAATTATGCACAAACAGTAAAATGTTAGTACTCTGGGCGAAGTAGATAAATATATATGTTTTGTTTTTGTAACTTGTTTTGCATATCCAAACTTTTTTCCAAATAAAAGTTAATATAAAAGATAAGAACTTAACCTTCCAAAGACTAATAGTTTCAATTAAACTATAAGAAGAAAATATTACTATTTCTACTAAAATTTAAATTTCTCTCTAATACCTATTTTCTGAATATGTTACATGAATAATATACTAGTTTTTATATATAATTGCTGAGTATCTTAAATTGTTTTATATTTTATAATATAATTTGTAATATAAAACAAAAGGCCATAGGCCTTTGATATTAAGGAAGTGTTAATGTCCTTCCTTATTAAAACATATATAGTCAAGTATTTAGAAATAAATGTGACAGTGTTTTATTTACATCAGAGAATGCACCTACTCTGTGAGGATGGTTGGTGGAGACATGGGCCACACAACCATCACCTCAACCTAACATGTGAGTGGGGCCATCAGAAGTATGCTCTACCCAATCCACTAAGGACATCTGAGGAGACTAACACCGACTGTTGACCAACAAGATCCTGATCAGGAAATCAATATCTGAGCTAAGGTGCTGGGTCCTAATGCACAGCTAGCAGAGAAATGGCTTACACATATATGCAGTTGGCAGGAGAGAGGGCTCAGTCACTAAAGGCTGAGGTCCACATGCAAAATCCACCAACATTATAACAAACGTTTGTGGACCAAATTGTCTTTGAACTATCTTGTGTTTATTCCTTGAGAGTTAATCATCTGAAGACGTAAACATAAAAAGCAGACAAAACTGTCTATAGAAATGGGCAAATGCACAATCACGATATGAGATTTGCAACTCCCTGGCAGGATAGCTTAAAGTTATTATTATCAATAAAAACAAAATAAAAAAATTAAAAAGGGGGAAGAAAAGTTTGCAGTACACAGTGAACAGACTTGGATGCAGGTCATAAACAGAACACAATTTATCAGTTGATATGAATTACTCTTAGGCATGCACAGAACACTCATAAAAACAGACACAAACACGAATCCCAATAAGCTTTAAGATCCTGAACTTATATAGAATATGTTTTTGACAACGATGCAGATAATTCAGAAATCATTGACAAAATGATAACCAGAAAAACTTAGATCTAGAAATTAAATAGCTCAAAGGCCAACTAAAAATCACAATGGAAATGAGAATATATTAGAAATGATAATGAAAGAACTGTGTCAGAGGTCATGGATACATGAATGAAGCAATAGAGTTTAGAGCTTTAAATACATATTGGGGGGGGATAAAATCAACCCATGAGAGCAACACAACAGAGAACAGAAAAACTAAATACATACATACGTACAAACATATTTTCAAAGAAAGACAGAAATGAACCAAACCTTGTCAGTGAGAAAATCAACAGGCAAACTGGGTCTTGAGCAGGAACTAATTAAACTGAAAACCATCTTGGGGACTACAGAGCAAGCGCAGCTAAGGTGGGGGGTGAAGTGGACACCACACAAGCTACAGAAAGTTAAGAGATGACAGGAGCACATTATGGACAACTGGATGACAACTGACTTGAAGACCAAGGAGGAGGAATGAATTCCCTGAAGAACATACACTGCCCAAGAGAAACAGAACTTCTGCACTCGCTGTACTATTTGGAAAGCCATGCAGTGTCTCCCCTCAGCAAAGCTCCAGGCCCAGAGTTTACCCGAGAGTTTCATCAAATGATAAGGAACTACTATTGGTCTTACAGCATCACCCTCAGGGCTCTCATCCCTAGACTGCGGCACATATAGATGCTCATGAAAATGGTTTCTCCTTTCTCCTGACCCCAAAGGCAAACAACTGCAAGATCAAGCCTGACAAGTTAGAAAAGAGAATTCACAAGTGAATGGCCAGTTACAGGACATGACCTTCTAATGACCTTCTAATCGCTAAGAGACACTCAAAGTGTAATTTAGGAATAGAATACTATCAGTCCAGTCAACATTCTAGGATGGAGAAGGAGGGGCTTAGGAGTTGTCACCACTAATTAAGGAGCTAGTGCTAACTGGTGGCTTCTCAGGAAGGAAGAGATAAGTTGTCATTAAGGGACAGTCCCTGGTAGGTCCACTACACTCCAATGGAGGGCAGCAAACAATCCACTGAATTATTTTTTTAAAAGACATAAAGAAGGGATTGAGGAACTAGGGGTTACAGTTGGGGGACAGATCTGAGATGAGGTGGGTAAGTAGTAGGGGATGAGAATTATCAAAATACATTATATGAAACTCTCAAAGTATCAATAAAATATTATTAAAAACAGTACTTTAGCAAGGAGGGATATATGACAGGGTCTAGAGGGAGGAAATAGAAAGGAGAAATGATACAATTATATTAATTTCAAAAATATTTTAAGAAGAAATAAACCCAGGTTTGAAACACTGGAGGGGGCAGGGGCTGACGAGATGCTCAGCAGTAAAGTGCACCTGCTGCTCTTCCCACAGATCTGGTTTGAGTCCCAGCACCCACGTGGTGACTCACAACTGTCTATAGCTCCAGTTCCAGGGAACACAACATCCTCTTCTGGCTTCTGTAGATACAAGGCGTGTGTGCAATGTTCATATGTACACATAATTCTCTTTAAGTAATTAAAAATAAATATAGCAAAGGCTGGTTTTGAATAAGTGCCCCCCCCCAGACACACATATGATATTTGAAGTTCACCATAATGGAAACCTGAGACAGTGTCTAAAATTTACAATTTGTCCTAACTTATTTTGTCCTTTTTTTCCTTCTTTCCTAAAATCTCAAAACTTTAATGGTTTACTTTTTTAAATTGCCAGTCACAATTCTTAAAAAGGAAGAAAATGTTTACCTACTAATGGAACTACGTAGAAATTAAACCACTCAAAGTGTACGGCTTTGTATTTTGGGGAACACACTCTGACAACTAAGAGATAACTCCACCTGCTGCCTCGCAGATGGAAAGTATAGGGTCCCCACACAGCCATGTGAGCCCGTGCTCCACACCCCCATGTGAGCCCGTGCTCCACACACCCATTTGAGCCCGTGCTCCACACCCCCATGTGAGCCCGTGCTCCACACACCCATGTGAGCCCGTGCTCCACACACCCATGTGAGTTGTATTCCACACACCTATGTGAGCCTGTGCTCCACACACCCATGTGAGTTGTATTCCACACACCCATGTGAGCCCGTGCTCCACACACCCATGTGAGTTGTATTCCACACACTCATGTGGGCCTGTGCTGAAATGAAAAGCAGAAAAAGTCAGGAGAAAACAAAGCTTCTTTGAGTAATTAGTAAAACAAGACATAACATTGATTTTCTTCTTGTCTTAAATGAAAACCTGACTTCTGTTTAGAAGGTAAGAGCAAAGGATACATGAGAGGTGGCCTTGTGCAAATAAAGACTTGAGAGTCATTCTCACCTTGACAACCGTCACATCCATGCCAGACAGGTGTAAAATTGGGGTAGCATTTTTCTCAAATAGAGCTCTGGCTTTGCTGTAGAGAAAGAGGGGGGGGGGGAAACCACAATTATTTAATACACATTCTAAAGCTGAGAATACAATTTAACCATGTGCCCTAGAGAACACAGACTTGATATGTCCAAGAATAGGAAATTCACAGTGAGTTCCCATAGGTAGAAAAACAGATTGTCCCTTGTCTCACACAATCAGCTTGTATACATTTGGGATGCTACATTCTCTAGACAAACAATCAACAATCAAACAACAAAGCCTGACCCCCTCAGAACTCCCATGGCAGGCCCAGCAGAGAAGAGAATGGACGGACACAGGGCTGGCCTGCAGACCTAGCTCTCAGAGCACATGAGCTCTCCTGCAGTTGACCATACTCTAATAAAGGGAATAGAGGTATTTACTGCAACATTAGTGATAGGGCCCAGGGCAACAAAACAGACTCACTTAACCTTTTAACAATCAGCTTGCTCTTCTGGGAAGAGACACATCGTTTTTAAAGTTTAAACACTATGGGTCATCCCAAATCGAGAAAGTTTTTTTCCATGACAGCAGAGTTTTTGCTAGGAAAGGAAGCATCAAAGTTATCCCTTAGGATGGATGACTAACAAGGATAACTAACAAGGAGCTGGTCTACATCTCCCGAGCACAGACGCCATCTCTGTTCCTCTAGCACTTGATACATCTGTCCATCAACAGTGCTTTCAATGCATGATGAGGACAGCTTTCACACTGTCTTTAGCACAAGACAAGAAACTTGCAAAAACAGTTACCAGTCCTTAGTAATTCTTGAATCCTCCAACTTCTAGGAGGGGATATTCAAAGGTATTTACTAAGTATCTGATGAATTAGTGTAAGAATGAATCTGAATAAATCCCCACATGTAGGCAGATGAATTCTGAGGAAAGGCAAACATGATATTGATATCTTACTGACTGTAATATCTTACAATTAGAGGAATCATTAAGCAGCCTTGGATGGCTTTGTGCATTTCTCATGAGCATCATTCCATCAGTGCAATCTCGTCCAATCCAGGTCGAGATTCAGAAACAGTCTAGGGCTCAGAGGCAGAAGTAGCAGAATGTCTCTTCGCACGAATGGTAGATTTGAAATCAAATAAATGTCAAAATATATCAACTAGTTGGCCAGTCTTTTACCCTGGCATTTTCAACTATCACACACGCACACAGTATTAAAACATCTCACTACTACCTACATATTTACTTAGCTCTTTTCCTAAAACAGTTTCCTTAAAAACGAGTGATGTATACCTTACCTTTCTTAAGAATATTTGTATGAGAAATACAAAGGCAGCTAAGGAGGAGCACTTAAGGGCTGAACACAGAACAAATTCGCCATCTTTACTGAAAGCTAGAACCACAAATGACACACAAAAGGAAGATTATCAGCAACTTCAATGGAAGCTGAAAAGACTGCACAAGATTCCACAAGAACCTCAAGGCTCTAAGTGGGAACAAAAGCAACTTCAATATTTGCCACCATTCCTGGTGCCTGAATAATTATCAGAAGGAACATAAAAAGCTACATGGAAGTGAGTCCCCTCTTCCCCTCCACCCCTTCTGCACCATAACAAAAGGAGAAGCTGGGGACATTGTGAGGGATGCCTTCACTGCTGGAATGATAAGAACAGAACAGCGGGGAGTGGATCAGACCATCTCCTAAAAGCAGAACTCTGATGGTCTCAATCTGTCAGATCAATCACACCAAATCTGTAGTCTCTATGAGCTCCAGAAAAAGGACTCGAACATTTGCTGTTCATTTACATCTTTACATGAGGTCACAGGTTCAGAAAACCTCTAAAATAAGCAAAGACTTTTCTCCAATTGAAAAACACATGTTGCCAGTAAGAAATACATTATTTATTATATAATTAAGGGTGCAATAGCACCAGGCCTGAATAAAAACTTTATGTACTTACAGCAATTTCTAGACTCAGGCCCACACAAGATAATTATGCTTTAATGTATTATTTATTAACACTAAACACACAGTTTGTAGTAATAAGGGCGGCGGGGCTGCGTCCCCAGCACCCCGGCTGCCTGGCTAGCTTATGCCCGAAATAACAACACACAAACTGTATTCATTTAATCACTGCTTGGCCCATTTCTATCTAGCCTCTTCTAGGCTAATTCTCACATATTAATTTAGCCCATTTCTAATATTCTATGTAGCACAGCTAGGTGTGCTTACGGGGAAGATTCTAGCCTATGTCCATCCTGGGTCAGAGCTTCATCACGTGCGTCTGCCCAGGAGCCGGAAGCATGACGTCTCTCTGAGGCGTCTGCTCCCGAGAGGAGAGCTGTGGAGTCTGAGCTCACTTCCTCTTCCTCCCAGTGTTCTGTTCTGTTTACTTCTCCCACCTATCTTCTAACCAATGGGGGCCAAGCAGTTTCTTTTTATTTAACCAATGACCTTCCTCCATTAACAGTTATCTTATTTCTTAAGGTTTTCCTGAAGTGTTTTTTTTTTGTTTTTTGTTTTTTGTGAAAAGGAATCCACTTCTCCATTGCAACTTCTTATACTCATTTAGATAGGGTGCTGTAAATCCCATGCTGTCCTTGAACTGATTGTGTAGCTGAGATAGTTAACTTTAAACTCCTGATCTTTCTGCTTCCCTCTGTAAAGAGCTGAAACCACAGGTGTTGCTACCAGGCCAAGTTTATGCAGTACTGGTGACTGAACCTAGGGAAGGCCTCGCATGTGCTGGGCCAACACTCACCAATTTATTCTGATCCATGGCCCATTCCCTAGGGAATTTATAACTTAAATGTAAGCTGGGAATTTAATGTAAATCAAAGAAAGGTTTAGGTTTTTATTTTTGTAACATCATGTAATAGTATCTTTTGCTAAAATGATTTTTTTTTTCGAGTAACTTTCACTTAAAGTCAGGGTTTGGAGGCATGTTATGAATTCAAGGTCAGAAAAGTTCAGGAGTTAAAAGCTTTCTTCCCCACTCAGATGTTAATAGTATTTGGAGTTGTTGCTTCTGGAGGTAATTAGAATAAGATGGAATCAATAATAACATTAGTGTCTATATGAGAAAAGAAACAGACCCAAGCTAGTATGTTTGCTGTGTGTCACCATGGTCTTGTTAATACCTTGGGAAAAAAAGTAAAATTTACTTATACTCTATTAATTAGAGGGTCTCTATAATTTTATGTTTAACTGTTTTCTTGCTATTTTTAACATTTCATTCCAAATGCCCAAACAACTGCTTTTTGATGTTTTTCTATGTTTTATCTAAAACTGCATCTGTAAAGTGACCATGATTTATCTGAAAGATGTATTGTTATGACTACTATACCTGGCAGATTTATTTACATAAACAAATACTTATGAAACTGCTCAGACAGTTCAGTTTGCCACCTCCTTACATAGAAAGTTGCTCATCTCTGGTCCATTATTTGGATAATGCTGTATTTCATTTTATGAATTTCCCCTTTATTGCCTTGGGCTAATGTGCATCCTATTAGCTCATCACCTCCCAGGGCTTGTTCTGGCTTTTGCCTGAATTAAGTGACTATGAGGACTCACTTGAGTTATTAATGTGATTTCTTAATTATACTTTTTATATATACAGAAGGACTTTCCACACCACTTACCTACTAGGTGAATTAGATTTCAAGTCTAATAGGGAAGAAGGAAAGACCTCCTTGCATGCAAGCTTCTGGTGAATGCAACGTAGGACTTATGTTACAGTTTTAACCAAGGCAGAAGCATTGCTTTCATATTTATACATTAATGGAACTGCAAAGCTTAGGTTAAAAATATATTGAGTAAAAATATAATTAACCCATTTTCTCTCAAGATGAATTGTGCTACTCTTAGTTACTATGTTGACATGATAGTATCACATGTTGGAAGGTGAGAGGCAAATTTGGGAGGGTAAAGGTGGTGGAGACTATCTTGTCTACAACTTCCTCAGAGATCCAAGAAAGAAATAATGTTAACTGAGTAAGCAGGAAGTGGAAGCAAGGGAGTTCCAAAAAATGAGAGAAAAGACAGAAACAGCTGGCTGTCTGGACAGTCATCCAAGGGTTCTCTGTAACATTGGAGCATCCATCTTCAGCCTACAGGACTAAAATACCTGATAGACTTCTGTGAAACAGGATATTCTGAAGAACTTTCCTGCCTAGTCTCGGCAAATTTTGGAAGTTTTTTAAAAATTTTTTTTTTGTGTGTGTCCTGCTTGTCCAATTTGGACAGCATACGGTCAGCAGCTGAGTCAAGAGCATTTTCTTGCCCAGTGGTTTACTTTTCTCACAAAGAAACTAAACTCCATGTGGAGTTTCTTCAAAAATTGGTGCTGCCAAGATCACACAAGTCTCAATGTCATAAGAAAAAAGAACCTATGTTATTAAAATATCTTAAATGCTACATTCTGTGGATCTGTGAAGTGTTTGAAGATGATCTGTCAATCTAATATATGTTTGACCTTGAAAACATATGACCACAAATTTGATTGTAATAGGTAAAAAACTACTAACATGTATTACTTCTTTATCCTAAATAGTTTGTAATACTAATTTTCAAGGACTATAAATTTGCATTACATTGTTAAATGAACTGTATATGTACAATATCTTGAACAAGATAAAAAAAATCTATGTACAATATTCCCTAACAAAAATAACCTAAAATTTGTATCAATATACAAAGTTCCAAGCCAATGTAAAATATTGAAAACTAGTAGTTGCTTTTTAGGTTTAAAAGTAGATTCAATAATCTACCTTTTTAATCCTATTTTTGTATCCCCCTATTTTTCAGAGTAGTTTCAAAAATCTACTCTTTTATTCTATCATGTCTGTATCCCCATTTATTGTTTTGAAAACAAGACTCCCAAATTTAATCACTTTCATTTAGCTTTTTTTTCTGACCATTAGCAATAGCAACTTGTAACCAAGCCCCCTAAAAATTCACAAATATCCATAACCCAGTGAAAGGCCAGAAACCACCCAACCCACCTCTTGGAAATGTGGTTCTTGAGTTCTTAAATTTACTTCC